AATATGAAATATGACTGTCATCAACTGGAAGACAAAATAGAGAAGAATGGAAGAATCTTGTAAAACAAGGTTAGCTCGTATATAGCCTGTATAGCTACGGATGATAATGATGTGAGAAGATTATTATAGGAAATATTCAATTTCTTTGCCTAGTTTCCTAATCTATAAAATCCCGTGAGCAAACCAATTTTGAGACTTATATTTTATATTGTTTGCAGATGTCTATATATCGTTGATCTTTTTCATTTAAGATAAAAATGTTTTATATAAGACGATTTTAACAATTGTTTGCACGAACGATGTGCTTTAACTATTCAGAAGTTCTAAATGTATTCCTAACACACCCTATCTGTATAACTCATCCGCTTCGCAATTGACTGTAATATCTCCGTAATTGTGAATCTAGCGAAGACATATATTTTATTCCATTGACATTTTGTTTAGAGATACGTAGCACCCAAATACTATGTTAGATGTAAATTAAATTGAACTCAATCATTTCAAATTGGCTATATACAATATACATATTCCTATTCAACATATTAATAAATTATTTTCATATTAATAACTATAGAGCTTATTTAATAGCAACACATTTTACATGAAAAACACTGCAATGAAAAAGAACCCTATAGTCTCTGCGCATATGCAGTTTCTCAGGAAAATTGTAACATTTTTAGATAAAGTGCCAGGTTGAAATGTAAGTCTTTAAAATAATTTTAATAACGTTTATTTTTTCTTGCCAAGAGTAACGCGTCTTTATGACGAAAAGAAACTATTTAAAAAAGTTATACGGATTCGAACAGTAAAGAAAAGGCAAAGACAAAAATTTTAGTTAATTTATTAAAATTTGGCTGACCATACAACGCCAAGTACTCATCATCAGTGATTTTAGGAAATATTTCAATTTCTTTTTAATTAGTTTATAGTCCGTATATAATTTGTTTGGACTGCAACTGCCCGCCTTAGAACTCGTGCCTGTCGAAGTAGAAGCGGTTTTTTCACAAGTAGCCAAGACCGTACAAACTTTCAATACTCAAGTTACAGGTTTTTTTTGTCACTTTTTATTTAATTAGTGACATTAACCAAAGCACTTGCTTTGCTTTAAATTAAATCGAGCTAATAAACTACAGCTTTATTTGAAAACACAAGTTCAACGAATTGCAAATTAACTTTTGAAGTTGCCTATTTTTGTTTCAAAGCTATATCTGTTATGTATATTTTTACTTACTATATGTAAAGCGCCTTTTTTGGATGCAATTATATACGGACTACAAACTATTTAAAAAGAAATTCGAATATTTCCTAAGACCACTGATGATGAGTATTTGGCAATACTTGAAACAGCGTTCTATGGTCAGCCAAATTTTAATAAATTAACTAAAATTTTTGTCTTTTCCTTTTCTTTGCTATTCGAATCCGTCTAACTTTAATAACACTTGCTATTCTACAATGCATATACATTGAAAAATTGAAAAATTTAGAAGAAGATTATAGTAAGATTTTAGTTTGGGTGTGAACAATGGGTACATCATTATTTTGGAACAGTGTTTTAAAAACTAAATTTAGCTCAAATCTATTTTATGGTCGCTGTGTTTTTATATTTTTTTATGGATACATTTCGGAAGATATAATTAAATAGTTTTTAATCTATGAGTTAAAAGAAAAAGCAGTACTTATGTGCTTTTCCGGTACCCTCAAGATTGCTGTGGGTTTCTATGTATTGTACAAATATTTATAAGTACTAGTGTGTGTCTTGACAAATATATGCACGTATGCATTGCATTTGGGAAGTTGGAAAGCATCATTTTTAGTTATTCTTTGGGGCTGCAATGAACTTCGAATATAAACAAAAGATCTGTATGTGTTAAAAAAAGAATAACATTTTCTATTTTCATCTCTGCCATTAGCCAAGCAGCAGAACATTTTTAAAAAAATACACTCAATTTTTTTAATAGAACAACGTTTGGCATTCATGCGTTCAGCATCCAATGGTGTCAGTTGTGCGGATATCGGTTTTGATGAGGTTATCTGATATCAATATTTTGAAATATTGCCCAAAGATTGCAATAAAATTGAAAAAAGAGATTTGCTATTAAAATATGAGCTCATTTCAAGCAACACGCACAGACTTTATTATTAACGTGTGCACCATTAAATGGGAGCAGATTCAGTCACTCGAAAAGTAACTAATTGAAATGTTTGATTTTAGTACTGACTCTATGAAATGATTATATTGAAGTAACAATGATCATTTATGCTTTTCAGCAAATCAATAGAAATTGTGAAAAATAAAATACATCGAATGAGTATTAAAGGCGCTAAGGAGTTAATAACTGAGGAATCAGTAAATTCGACAGCGGAGTACAAACATACCAAAGTGACTACTACAGCAACAAACGTGGAAGAATTTATAATGCAAAATGACAATTCTCTAAACACTGCTAAAATACAGGATATACCAAAAGAACTTGAAGTGTCACCGACGATGTCAATTACAAATACTTCAACGAAGGAACCGATTTATGCAGTTGTGGATCTTAAAAGTAAATATGCCCTGAGAAAAATACGAAATAGACATGCTGAACTGAAGCGTTACAACAGCTATGATAGTATTATTCACGCAGCGACCGATTTATATAAAATGCATAGAAAAGAGGTATGTTGGATATGGTTCAGAATCGTAATGAAATACAATATATGCTTATCTATAATTTAATTAGACTTTACACTAAAGTAAGTAGTGGTAAAAGCTTAAATAACATAACTTTACATAAAGTTATATGAATTAATTGCTTTTGTTGTGAAATTTAGTGGAAAGTAATTAAAATTATGATTGATGTATTTTAAAAGTACAAGATTACGTCAAATTTATACTTAACTGTGCATATTGAAGTATTAATTTTAAAACGTACTTATTTATTCCAAGCTCTTCTCAATTCTCACTAATTTAAATATGTGTAAAAGTGTAAAAAACTATCATGTATATGTATTGAGTAAAAATTTTAGTACAATAAGGTAAAAGCCGAGAAATGGTTTTTAAATAATACTAAGAATAATAGTAATGAAATTGTTATATAACAATTACAAATGCATCAATTTAAAATATTAATCAATGCCTTTGTAATCATTATTTTTATAATTTAAATAAATTAAAAATTTGTTGATTAAAAACTAATTGATTAAAAAATTAATTAATTTATTAACAAATTTAATTTATAAAAAAATTGAATTAGTAAGATTAATTAATTTGTTGAACAATTTTCAGCACACACAAAACTCTACATTTAGAAATATCTGTTTTAAAAATTTAGATTTTGGTATTAGTATGTGAATATGCTGTTTTTGTTGTTGTTGTAAACAATATCGTTTCACTGTATCCTACATGAGCACTAAAAAACATTGGTCATTTTCTGAAAAAGCTTTAGTTATACACTTTTCTTCTTTATATCCTGCACTTTTTCTTAATTAGGACCCATAGAATAAAATAAAGAAACTGAGTTCTCAGAGAAATGCAGCATTGTGATTATAGTGTTAATAATTGAGTCCAACGTCACAAAGGACAGCCATTCGATAGAAGACTTTCTCTGTTTCTCATGGAGAATATTCTATTATCAGATAAGGATACGAACTTCCGGCCCATTATTTTTGTCTTCCACGAGATCGAAGCCGGATCTTACCAAAAAATGTAACAAAAGTATTCTCTATTTCCATATATTCACTTTGATCTGGCCTTTCATGTTACAGAATTATCGTTAACATGGTAACGCATTTTGGAATTTCCCATTAAGTAGCTTGCCAGCAATGATAAATTAGAGAGCCTCAGCTCAGTTTTGCTGAGAAGGAACATTTCTCTAAAGTAATAAGCAACAATCCGCTCCTTACCTAAATTAAAAATTTATTTAATCAAATTTTTAAATTATTACTAATAATGAAAGTTTTTAGTGGATAAGTACAGTTTTAGTGGATAATTTTCAATATAAATGCGAACATTAATTATTTTATACGATCATTATAGAAATCATCAAGTCTAATTGAGGATGACATTGATGGGATTTATGAAGATGGTGATATGTTTTGTTCAAAGGCAAACAGAGACCAACCTACATCAACTGTTGAGGAGGAAAACATTTACGAACCGGTTAATAAATTTATCAAATCAAATTTTAAATTATTTTATAAATGGCTTATTTTATATAGATAAATGTACCACCCCCACCTCTGCCACATATATCAACACATCGTAAAGCAATCTGGAAATATTTTACACGGCTTAAAGTAAATCTAATACGAATAAGAAAACGTGGCTCCGACTATGATAGTATTAAGCTGTCAAAAAAATCTCCGCCAAAAAAAGAACCCTCCAATTCTCATTTTTCCACAATAAAACACAAATTTGGTACTCACCGAAAATCAATGCAAGTGCACATGAGAAAACTGTGCGCACGAGCATATGAGCCACGCCCATTTTTTTCACATAATAATACTAATAAACAACAAAATAATAATATAACAAATTCTGTAAGCAGTAATAATAATGCTAAGCAACCTAAAAAATACTATTGGAAATCGGTAAAAATTAAACCCAAAAAATTGTATTGCTATGGCGACGCCACCAAAGTACAAAAACAAATTTTTGGTAGTTTACCGCATATACGAGAGCGAAAGGTGCACTCTTCGATATTAGATGCGAACGTGACGCAACAAATCGAGAGAAATTGCAATAGATTTGAAAACAGAGCAGCTTTGTAGTTTGTAACGGAATTATTTATTAATGAAAAAAAAAAAATTAAACAAAGTATGTAAATGATAATTTAATGATTAGTTATTTAAATATTTCTTTAGATAACCTTCGAAGGATATATCCTCATCAGAACTTGTGAAAGTAGGCAAAATCCTTGTATTTACAGAACGCCAGTCAAACTTAGGTACTATTGCATTAGAAATATTGTCATTATCTTGTGTGCACTTTACTTCCAGGATATCAGACATGAGGCTTTCATTAATGTGGTTAATAGGAGAGTGTGTAAAGTTATGTTCGGTTCGATTTTTAAAAATTTGTAAGCGATATGGATTATGTGACTTTAAGTTTTTTTTGGCAAACTTTATTAAATTTTCTTTGTTTTTTTGTTGATCTCTTTCGTACCTCTTCTTTTGCTCATTAATTGCAATTTTTCTCTGTTTTTTATTGATATTTTCCAAATGAACATTTTTTGTTTCATCTAAATTCTGGTAGCCATAATTTTTTTTTTTATCAGCATGTTTATATTCATTAATCCTGCGATATGTTCTTTTAAAGTTGCAAAAATTTTTCTCTTCTAAGTTTAGTTTATTGAATTCCTTAATAACCTTATACCAGTGTTGGAAATTATCCTCGGAGGGCCTGAAATTAATTTGATATTTATAATTAAAGTTATAAAACAAAATATATTGAGTTTATATATTTACGATTTGCTACCCTATCTAAGTTTCTTGTGGGAGTTATAATATAAATGATAGAGTTGGCCGAAAAATATTCGTCATTGTTGGTGCGCTTGGTTTTGAACGAAAGTATTTTTGAAATTGTTAGATGTATGTGCAGAGCAATTTCTTTTTTTGTTTTTGTTTTGATGTAATAAATAGTAGCTAAAATGGAACAGAATAGAAACTTACTGGGTTTTCGGCTTCCAGCACTGTGGAGTACTGCGACCGTAGTGGATCTTTTGCTCTAATAACTAATACAAAGCGAACAGAAAAAATTAAGCCATTTGATGAAAATTCAGAATAATTTCCTATTATCAGATGAAGGTAGATAAAGATCAAAAATTCACGATTCCAAAAAATGAGACATTCTGTTACAAGAAATTAAAATATTTTTTTTAGATAATCTCTTTCAGAAAATGAGGAAATGAGGAAATGTCATTATAGATAATATCTTAAATACCTCTGCTCTGTTCTACTAAGAAGCGTCGTTTTTTCACATTAGAAGATATTCTAAAGCAGAGTTAAGTGACATTTTGTAACAACAAAGAGATATTTTAAAATTCTAGTGTTATAAAAGGAAGAGGAAGGCAGGAAGGAATAGGAAGACCCTTCTGGCGTAGATACTTTTTAACAACCAACAGCCAGGAAACTATTTTCGATGGTTCTTTTGTGCGATACACTGTTCGGTTTATCTGCAAAAAGCTTGATGAAATTATGCGACGAATTTGAATATTTGCCACTTTATAAATTCAATTTATTTACAAAAGCTGATTAGAAATAGAAACTCATTGAAATCGCTCAATGAGTCATAACTGGAAAATTAAGTCTTCAGCTTTATGTATTGTTATCTTTACTGTACAGATCTACGATTGTTCGATCTTAAACAGCTTTCTGTTACTCTCATGCTGTAAAATTTAAGTTAAATTTATATCAAAAGAGAACTATGAAAAGATAACTATGAGAAGATATAAAAATCTATAGTAAAACGAATAATTAAACAAAAATTGACAATAAATATTAAAATATATTTTCTATGTTGATTAGAAAACGTCTCAAACTTAATGCTTACATCCGTTTAATTCAATAAAAGCTAGATAATTAAATTTTGCTAATTAAGAATACTCACTCCTTTACGTTATTTTTTAGTTCCATTGAATTTTTAACTTTGTTTAAATTCCAGGCAGAAAATCTGTTATTTAAATTTATTTTAATCTGATTAAAAGAATTTTCAGTATTAGTTGTTTTATTGTGTCGTGTAAAGAAACGGTTTTCAACGTATGTGGTATCAAAATTTAAAATTCTGTTGCAATTTATAGGTTCAATTACGCTAAATTCTTTCCGTTGAATTGTTGTATTAAAATCCCAGTTCCTTTCAAAATTTAGCAGAGTGATTTCTGGATTGTTAATTAAGTTCTTCGTATTATTTTTCATTTTTTTAATTGAAATATCTACTTTGGATAAATCCAGAGGTTGTATATCGCAACTCTTAGACACTTGCTTTGTTTTCTTGTTGATTTCTTTGTTATAAGAAGAATGGACTTTATTTATAGATGAGTTCTTTTCATCATTGCTGCAAATATCTAATTCTGATATATTTAGTTCATTAATACTCTTCTTTAAATTATTTGGAGTTTGTTTCTTTAATTGAAATTGAAAATAATCGGTAACTGTTTTTTGACGCAAAGTTGAAGGATTTTTCAATTTCTTTAAATTGAATTGAAGATCTTTCGTTGACTTGGTTGTATTGAGAGAGATAAGACTTTCACTTCGATTATAAAATTTTCGTGGCACTGGTAATAATTTGGTAACTTTTTCAATACAGTTAACATTCCTTTCCTTTTCAGACGAAGGAAGTTTCTTTTTCGAATAATAAAATTTTTGAAACCTTAATGACGTATTGCATTTGTTAATAACACCAGAATTAATATTTGATAAATTGGATACTCCAGAAATACTAGTTCGTATGTCAGAAAATTCATAAATGTTTGTAATTTTTTTATTTTGTTTGGTAATTTTGATAGTTGAATTACTTAAAGTTGATTGTCTCTCTCTTTTCGTACATTTGCTAGTACAATCATTTTTTGAGTAATGTTTCTCATTCACTACGATTTCTTTATACTTATCTATTCCAACTGTAAAATTTTTTAAGGAAATTAATAAATTTTATTAATATATACTTAAGTACTCACCTAGAATTCTATTTATTGTATGAACAAAGATCTTTTCAACTTTAACATTAGGTATTGTAATATATTTTGCATAGAAACCAAATTTTTGAAGAATGCTGTCACTAAAAGCATATTTAAAAATCAAAGAGAAATACATAATTTGTGTTTTTATTAATTAGTAATACTTAAAATCCAATTTTAATTATATAATAATTAAAATAATTAAATATTGCATTAGCAATAACTAATTAATTTAAAAAACAGGTCTTTTTACTTTAAAGCAGTAAAATCTCATCTTAAAATATATGTTATATATGATTTATATGCTTCCAGTTATGTGAGAATCATAATTAATTTTACTTTAAAATTACCCAAAAATCCACATGGCACTTTGTACTATATATTCTCATATATCCCTATATATATGAATGTATGGAAAGTTTTCTCGGGCCTCTATATCTAATTAGGTATTGAAAATGGACTTTTACCCTTACATACTATATTTTCATTTCTCGAGCCAAGGAAACACCTCCTGCATCTTTACTAATTTGTCAGGAAATATCCTGTAAGTTAAATTTGTAATTTAATGAATTTGTTATTACTATTAAAGGAGTCGACAAGAAACCGCCACCTTTGAGATCTATTGTGTTATTCCTAAAAAAAGGTTCCTAAGTCAACTTGAATTTGAAATTTAGATTATTAATAAATCTAACAATGTTAGGTTAAATTAGGCAATGCTAAGGGATCCACTTAGGCCTATTAGCCCATTTTGCTACCGTATAATTAAAAACCACTTAGAATCTAAGTATTGTCTAACAATGTTGCTCCTAATCTCTGGTCCTCGTTTTAATTAAACTCAGATGAAATGAAAATATTACGCGACGATCAGTTAACGTAACCGAATATCGCTCTCTCTTTTTCATATAATTTTAAAAAAGTAGTTGTTAGAAGTAATGTATCCAGTTAGGAAATCACTGACTCATCGGAGTGTAGATCTCTTGAGACTGCAACAGCGTTTTAATTATTGACCTGAGTAAGCTGATTAGATTGCCTTAGGACGTTGGCATTACTTCGCAGATACTTTATATTCAATATCCAATATTAATGCAGTTTGACAAGTATATACTTCTTTTGTAAACTAAATTATGTGTGGAAGTTTATCTATATTAAATCTGCGTTCTTTGAGTTCTTTCAGCACAAACGATTAAAAATGTGGTATTTTTGCAATTTTTATGTCAAGTATTTTCACTCAAAATAATAAATAGTGAAAAATTTTTTCGTCAGACCATAGTATTATCAAAAATATATATTTTTAAACAGTTATAAATACACATAAAACATAACATTTAAGTGACTTACACATTTTCCTCATATAATAATAAATTATTCAATGAATCACCGACTATCAGTACAGTGTGAGAACCAATATAGATGTATTCTTCATTAAGTTGCTTTAAATGAACTTGTATCACATTTTCTGATTTCAATGATATATCAAGCAAATATGTTGGATATGTGATCATAATGTTAAGCAATAACTCATTACCGAATGGAGCAGATAAGTTTAATATCTGTAATAAATGAATATCCGATAATATAGAACAAAAGGAAAACTATAAGATATTAAATATCACAACAAAGTAAAATTATTACTCAAATTTTTATTATATATACTAGTAAGTAGGTATTTAGCTCACCGACTCAATTGTACGTGCATCTGTCTCAGATATTGATTTTATAGTGGTTTTTCCCGCATTCACCAACAAACTTGAGTGCACAGCACCAATTTTTCTTATCTGTTTCGAAGCGAACTCTGAATTTTCCCACAATTTGGCATGAAAGCATTTAACAATCGTCAGGGCATTTAGCAATGCCTTGTAGCAACGAAATTTTGAATCATTCGATTGTCTAAGTCGCAAATACTCCAGTAAACCTAATTTAGTTAAAAAAAATTGTTTTTAACATTATGAAAAATTTATTTATTATAGAGTTTCAAATGAAGTTGTTTACATTTTGATAGCCGATCACCGATGCGTATTATTTTTATGGATTCCTGAATCAGTGCAGGAGTTGGCAATGTAAGATTACCAAAAACAGCTTGAATCAAACTAAAAAAATTAAATCTTTCAATAGGTAAATAGATATAAATTGAAATTTCCTTACCAAGATATTTTATCTTCGTTAGATCTAATGCGACCGCGAATAGGAAATCTAATAGGACTTCCATTTAGTTGGTTCAAGATTCCCTTTTCATTAGCTCTAATAACAAAATCAGAAAATTCTTTGCATTTTACAATTGTGTTTATGGTCTCTAAATATGTTTCGGAACCCTTAATCTGTAATTATGCGATATTTAAACAGTAAGTATTGACGTTAACTATGGCTTTGTTGACGATTAGGTGTTCGTAATATTGAGTTATTAAAAATTATTTATCCAGGATTTTTCAAAAGGAATTTCTGAGTTAAGTTGTGAGTTATGTGTGCTATGATTGGTTTAATTTTCGTTGATCAACCAAAACTTTTTTGTTTGAGTTCTAATACATTACAATTGGTCTAATTTAATTCACTTATTAATTTTTACTTATAACCATTTTGAATGGACTGACAAATACTACGTCTACTAATATATCCATATATATTTACGTATAATGGTGTAAATTATGCATTTATTTCAAGGTGTTTTAAAAATTTAAGTTCCTTTATTACCTGTCGAAATAGCTTCATTGTCTCAAAAGACAAGTAATATTTAGACATTAATTTTCCATAAACTGTAGTCTGAAGATTCATTCCATTCAGTATTACTAAACCGTTTTTTTGAAGTTCCTTGATCTGTCGTAAGCACATTTCTGTTAGAAAAATAAAAGTATTAAATTAAAAGTTTAATTTGTTATGTGGTGGATGGAATTTTACATAAAATACCTTCAATCTTCCTATCAATAAGATCTTTGTCCATTCGTGGTTGTAGTTCGTATTTAGACGAAGGATTTCGCACTGCTCTCACGTAAAAGAACGTCGAACGTATCCAATTCATTGCAATGTCGAAGTTTTGTATTGTGTTCAATGCAATTTCTGCATTCAAGTGTTCTGTCAGATATTTATGAAAATGTGATTCCACAAACTTTTTACCATTCATAAGATTTTCATATTTATGCTGAAATAAATAACAATAAATTTTAAGCGCTAAAGAGATAAAAATGTTTTATGATTCACACAAAACGAATTTCATTTCTCAATGTTTATGGAAATCAAATGCGAAAGGCAGATGATAGACATGTTTTGTTGGATTAGGTTTGGGATAATAATCGTGCTGTTGCATATCGGCAGAAGCATCATTGGAGTTGCTGCAACAACTCTTGTGCAATGAAGAGTCTACTTAATTGCACTCTGGAATAAGTTACTAGAGTTTAAACCTTTGAAATTATCTTCCTTACTTTGAATGAGGTTACTTATCTGTGTGATTATGAGGTTTTAAAAAATCTTTGTTGGCATTTGTTGGAACAATACCAATATCAGCTGGTAGGGATTAACATTTTACTTAAAATACTGCTGAACCTCAATGCCTGATGAATTGATTTCAGTTGTTTAACAGATAAACTGCAAATCATTACGTTAAGTTAATATTTTACTACGTTACTGAAGAGACGTAGTCTTTTTCATTTTTGAGCGCTTACTTTCTTTTCTTTAAAATTATTTCAATTTATTTCAGTTTTTATTTGTAAAATTTACACTTTGAAAGCAACGGAGTTGTATGTCTATAAGGATTCAATCGGAGATACACGTTTATAACCTACTGAAGTATTCTAAAACCCTTAACATATAGTCATAGACATTTCTGGGGCGTATAATTTCACATTTCGGTAATATGAATTAGCTATGCGATTTATCACCACCTATTTTTTTGTAGGGTTAAGCAGGATGATTATGCGGATAATGCTCAAACTATCAAATTTTTGAAAATGAACATCTGTCAAGTTATTGTCGAGCTATTGCTTACTAAGTAACAACAAGATATCGAAAATTATCTTAAAAATATTAAGTGTTATGAGATAATCTGAGAAAAACATTTGATAGATTGATTTTATATCTATTTCATCAAAATCTCAATCATGTCTATTTACGTTTACTTTCGGAACTACGTAATGGTTAACGGATAAACGCTGTGTTACTCTTTTTCAATCCCCAGAATGCATAATTTTGATTATTCTATTACTAGACCAGATCCGTTTAATGTATAGTAAATATATGCACCTTTTATACGAAAATTGCAAAACTTTCAAAATTAATGTCTTTCGATCTCCCACTTTTTCTAATAAATTTAAACAAAATTCATTAAATTGAACAGTCAAATTAGTTATTAAGTGCAATTATAATACAACTATTACTCACTTTTTAAAAGACGCATTAATAAGTGATAAAAAATTGTTGAAGTTTTAAAGAAATAACCGAAGTTAATTTAATTAAGTCAGCGGTAAATAAAACCACTTAGCAGGTTTTGTACTTCTTATTGATTGCTTTAGCGGTAGCGGATCTTGCTTAGCATTTTGGCACTCAATAATATTGACGGCATTTGTATCTATGGCAATCGTGAGCCAACAAAATGTCAAGATGATCGTAATGAAGTAATGCAATATTTGCAATAATTATTGAATATACTTCGGCAGAAATTTGCAACCGACAAATGCATCTATCACATGAGCACATGGACTGCACACACTTCTAAGCGCTCCATACCTGTGATTACCTTCATTGTTAAATAAGCCATTTATATGTTAATATTACTTACAATATAATAAGAGGAAGAATCGAGCACGGAATATGTAGTTTGTTTTTATTTTTTTAATAACGATGAAACTAATTACCTTTCTAAATTAATTAATATATTTTTTTTAATTTCATGCTCTCTATTTATATTCAGGTTTATCCAGCGATTTCTTAAGAAACATATCTATTTGATATTATTTATGATACTCGTACATTAAATACATAAAATGACAAGTTTATCTCTTCTTCATGAACTTGGACAAATTTTATTTACAATTCAATGATAATAGGAGTATATAGAGTTAAAGTGTGCTGCCAGGATAGTATAATACAGTTTATTGTTTTAAAATTCTTCTAATCAAATTAAAAATTTACAATATATCCAAAGGCTTTATAACAAAATCTAAATAATCTTACCTAACCACGGTATTAGCTCACACTTTTTTATATACACAAAAATTAGATTATTTCCCATTACATATAAAAATTTATTATGTAAATTACTCTACATAAACATTAAAAATTAGATTAAAAGACAGGTGTCTTTTAACCTGTTAAAACAACAGATGTTCCTACAAAAAATTCAGCTTTATGAAGTCCTATAGTCTAGTGTCACACCAAAATCAAACAATAATGCAAACAGAAAAATATATAAGTATGGTTAGATATGCTTAACGAAACGGTGCAATGACAACATTACAAACAACAGACGTGGAATCCTCAAAATACCAGATACTAAGGTTTATTGTATAAGTTCTGTGAAAGAATTATATATTTAATTGAAGAGGTAATTAAAAACCAATTGATTACGATACAGAATAAGAATATCTAAATAGATATATTAGATATGTCTTTCTAGTCCATACAAATAAAAACATACCGCACTTACAACAGACATCAGTTATATCAGTACGCGCGTACTTAACCTGACCTATAGCAGACGTGGTATCTTTAAGATATTAGGAAATCAAAGTAAGCTGTATATCTTCTATAGTAGAATTATATATAACGATGCTATAATTAGAGTTAAATTTAATAACGAACTAGAATAATAACGAACATTTGGGTTGCATTTTATGCAAATTCTGAAATCTTCAAGTATATCTAAATCTGATTAGAATAGGGAGTATCCTACATATACTTTTGTTTCAAAATACTAATTAGAATTTTTCATTATATTAGTCTGTAATTAGTTTATTTATCTTATTTTGTTGGCCGTAAGTCCATCAAATAAAACTATTTCAAAAAAGTATTGTGATAGAGCAAAAGAAATTGAGATTGAAATGAATCTGAAATCAAAATAAAACAAACATAAAAATTTTATAAGTATTTAGTCATTCACAAAAAATTTTAATTAAAAAAACTAACATCAACCTACACGCTGTAGACATTACTCGGTAATTAAAAGTGCAGGGTATAAAAAACTTGAGAACAGAAGTCAATTTTAATTACTATGCTGGTACTATGACAAAAGGAAGGGTAGGTACTTTTGTTTTGGTATTGACAAGAACTTAAGTTGTTGCAATAAACAAATTTTTGTTTCCACAATTTAAATAGACAACAACGACAACATCAACAACTTGCACTGCTACGTTGTAGCCTCACCTAAGCACGATTTTGAAGGTTACCCAGTGTTGAGTGACTGACTGACATGAACTGTGGAGTTCGGAATTTGCTATCGCAAATATCGGTGTGCCAAAGCTAAATTAAAGAAGAAATTCCGAAACTGCATTGTTTGTTGCATGATGCACCCGCACTGCATCATGCAACATAAATGGCACTAAGAAGCGAAAGAAGTGTAATAAGCAATGACGAACTAGGAACGAGCAGCGAGCAGCAGAAGTCGCTACCATGTGACACCATAGATAAAGAGTGGCAGTTAACAAGAGTGGCTCGGAACAGTGAAGAAGCTTTGTACTGCATAGTAAAAATTGAATTTCTAAGATTGTCGGTTCTTTGCTTAGCGCAATTGGAAGTAATTCCACAAAACCAAAAATTGAAGTCAACGGCACGAAAATTACTTAACTTTTTTAAGTACTCTTATTTTTTCTACTCATAGATAAATTTTTATGTACTTAGCTGTATATACTCATAAAAAGATATTTGTTGTTGTTCTTGTCTTGTTGCACTTTTAGATACTCACACTCTTGCATTGTCTGGCTTGTATTCACTCGTGGTTATAGTCGTTAAACAAAACCAAATACCTCAGAGTAAATGGCATATTAAATAGTTGACATTTTCCAAAACATTGAGGTCTTAAGCTGATCGCCTCTTCGGGCCGTGATTTACGAGTGTGTAATCTTAGCGCTGCTTGAAGTCTAAATGGCAGCTTAATAGCATTTACACAAGATATTAATTTGTGTTGTTGTGATGTTGACATTAATCAAGGACATAAGTGGTTTTTAAACACAAACGTCCGGTAAGATAAATTTTTTAAACATTGGAATAAAGTTGATCATTTACATAAGTTTTTACTATAACTTTAAAACTATCAAGTCTTTACATAGATATTTTTTATAAAAAGCTATATATGATACATGGTGATAATCTAACATAAATAATCAAATAACTACTTATATAGATAGCTTTTTTTTAGGTATCTTAAAAATCTTTCATGCAGACGCCTTAATCTTTGCATAAGTGGTAATTTGTTTTCGTATTAATTATGTAGAGATTATCCTTGCTAATGAATACCTTATTGTATTATGATCACAATGTGTTAAGTCGATAAATGAACTTGAAATCTTTGCAATGAGGGCTATCAACGTATACTAAAAATCAGTGGAACGGAACAAGTCTAAAATTCAACAATACTTTTAAGCGATAAGAGCGACAAGTGAAATACTTCGGTTATATGTTAGAAACACGTAGTAAAATACGATCTACTCAAATTGATCTTTAAGGACCGAATAAAAAGAAAATCGCGCTATTCATTGACGAAAGATATCGTAGCTTAAAATAGTGGTTCAATAAAAATAAAGACTCGTTTTTTGATAAAGATGGCAATCATGTTGATGAACATTTAAACTGGTTAAGGCACTTAGAAGAAGAAGAATTAGCACTGTACTATTACACCGATACTGCAATGACAGTGTATATTAGCAAGTGTGCTGTAAATAATCAAATGGCTTATAGAAGACAACGCATGCAGCTGTAATCGAAACAGGGAAGCTGAATATTTTAAGAGCATCTTAATGATCAATAGATGTCTTCTTGTTGAATTATTGATATATGTATTAACACTCGCTCTTTCAACCTGACCAAACATATAACGCAAGCAGTTGTAATCGAAACAGTGAAGCTGAGAAATTTTAAAGCATCTTAATGATCAAAATATGTCTTCGAGTGGAAGTATTAATATATGTATTAACACTCGCCCTTTTAACCTAACCAAACATATCTACATAAACTTTCTGTGATTTATTCGCAATCTATAATTTTCTGTCTTTCAGATTTTTCTATATTTTAGTATATTGCCTGTGCCAGCAATTTCTGCAAGAGTATTCTTTTTTTCATTTAAATTATTTTTATGTATCATATATTTCATATAACAAAGATATACAATCCTCAAATGTTAGTTTCTTATTTTATATTTTATATTTTAGAATCAAAGCTCAAAATAAATAAATTAAAAAATTTATTTCGATGAAAGTCAAAATTAAGTGATTTGAAATGAAAAATTGTTAATAATAGTTAGAAAAGTATTTAAGTCTGCAATGAAAATGTCTTCATTATAGAGTGAATTTTTAGTATTCACTCAAATGTACATATCAAGATAACAACAATCAAAGTATCACCTAAATGTACTGAAAAAGAGAGAGAAAAGTACTAATTGGTAGTGTTAAAAAAAAAATATATATTAAAAAAAATATATATTAAAAAAAATATATATAAAAAAAACCACAGCCAACATCATATTAAAAATATAAAATTCCATTCACGACAAACTGTTAAAGGGAATCACATTATAAATATTTTAAATGTTAAAAAAGAAATCTTCTGGATAGCTTTCTTATAACCACTGCAACTTTTTTATCTTTTATGTAGAAATCCATATATTATAGGGTTTTTGAAGCAACCAGGATGAACTTTTTCACATTTGTTCTTTCCGAATATTGTCTTGAAATTACATACTTAAAAATATATATTTTGATAATATAATACATTATTGCAATATTTCAGAATGTTCAGATAATGTAATGGTCATGTACAAATTTACAGTTTCTATACTATTATTGCTATATAAAAAACAGTTTGCAATGTAAAGTATTCGTAAATGATAATAATTTTTGGTTTTACAAAGCTGATTTTTTAGAATAATTGAAGCATATTAATTCCTATATATGTACTATATATTATATTATATGGTATATGTATATAGCCGACATTTCTTTATGTATTCTATGCATTTTCTTGATCCGTCCGAAGAAATCTACTACTATCTAGTGGGTCATTGATCTTTATCATGTCATTGCTATATTCTTTTTGAGTTCCAGCTTAACGCTGATTTTGCAATAGAAAAAACTCAAATTCAAGCTAAAACTCCAGAGAGAGACAGAAAGGGATTCAGAGATAACAAGAAACTTTCACATGAAAAATATTTACCAATTTAATAAAATTTTATATCTTTTAAAGATAAAGGAGTTATCGAAATATTTTTAGCATATTATAAGTAGCACATAAGTTGTTATATCGTTAAATGTGTGATGGAAGTATCACACCTTTGGGAAGAATAAAACTAACTTCTTTCGTGTTAAATTTAAAAACATATACATATATAATTTAATAGTGATTTTTATTTTTCTCTTCGAGTATTGGAAAATTGTTAAATATTTGAATTATAGTAAATGAATAATTTATTTGATTTATTTGATATATGCAAGTTATGATATATTAGAAAAGAATTCTATAGTAGGTAAATATAAATAAACTTTTAAATAACTTATCTTGTTATTGAATTATTAAATTGATTTAAATGTTACCTCAAATTTTTTTATATATAAAATTATATAAAATTCTGCAAAAAATCAAAAGTTTTCTCAGTCCGATGTGCAATAGAAATCAAACCCAAGTTGATAGCTTCACACAATCGTTGCTTACATTTTTATACGCTGCTGAGCTTGCAATATCAAAACTTTAATAAACTTCGTTCAAGTCAGCGACTAAGCAATTAAGCAAGCAAGCAACGAGACAAGAATTTAAGCTTGCCTTTGTCAATTGCTAGTTTGGGAGCTTCTCTAATACCTTTGACCTATGATGCAGTCGCACAAATCAAATCAAAACTATAAAAGACAAATGCGCACGGAGACCGCTGTCAGTACAATTTAGAGGTGTCATTCGAACAATTCAGAAGTGAACTGTGAATGCGCTTTTGTATCGGTTAAGGTGATCCTTAGTAAAGGCATTAACACTAAACATTAATACGATTATTCAAAAAGGTGCAATTATTGCCTTATAAGGATATCTTAATTAAAAATATGTCAACATCGTGGTTAGCGATCTTTACGATTATCTGTCTCTGTGCACTGTGGGGAAGTGGTGAAGCGCGCCCGCAAGCACCCGAGCTTCCTGAACCGGTAATATCTATTTAATAGTTATAATAAAATAATCGACTTATTGTTGTTATAATACGAATATAACGAAATAAAAATTCGCTTCTAAAGTGAGGAATAATTACTCAGCACTATGAAGAAATATTTTAAATATGCAATAAATTATGTATTATAATCAATTTAAAATAAATTATAATACCAATTTATAATGTATAAATTGTAAATGCAAATCTAATAATTAATAATAAAACAATATTCAATACAACAAACAAAAGCTTACAACACAAATCGAATAATTGGAAGCGTTGGGGCAGAAGCACGTGAATTGTGTGATGCAAAAATGTAGTGATAATTTGTGAGATTTTACTTTTGCAATATATGGTAAAGTTATAATTGCAATAAAAGAAGAAACGGTACCCTATTCAAAGAAATATAATTAGAGACTTGTAAAACTTTTTTTAGTTAATTGATTTTTGTGGCTACAGAGCGTCACATTTTAAATACGATTTAAAAAAAATTTTTGTTTTTGGTCAATAAGCGCGATTCATAAAGAAGTGGAATTATTTTAAAATCTACATATATTTGCAAGCTCCACGCTCGTTAGTTCGTAGACTTCTAGAGTGGAATTCCTTGACCTAACAAGACTTGGATATTTCCATAGGAATGTTGAATTATATATTTTTCTTCAGTTTGTAACCTTTCGAAGCCACTTCGATTCTGCACATACCCAGACCATGTTAAATCAATACGCTATTTAACTTATATATTTATATAGGCCAAAAAAATTTAAAAGTTTATTAGATGTTTAATAATTTTTACTTAAGAATTGTTTTCTTTCTATACGCTCTCTCAATTCATTTATCTCATTATTAAATAATAAAAATAAATAATAAATTTTATTTTTCAGCAAACAAAAACAGGCAGTGAATAGAATATTCTAAGTTTTAAGCATTTCTAGTTAGAGTAGTACAGTATTCGAATTTTACAAAGAAATGAATAACATATATTTCTGTTTCTTACAGAAAATAGAGTCTTTAATATTGTATATTGTCAATATACAGACTAAGTGAAAGCCCAATATACCGTTTGTTGTTAATGGTTTGCTATACAACTCGCTTATAGCCTTTAAGACTGATTACAAAATAATAAATTGAACAATTGAAACAATATTTTTTAAAGAGGTTTTTTTCGAACAGTAGTGAAGTATTGAAATTTAACAATTGAAAATAAAATTATAATTAATTAATTAATTCAATTATTCTACAGCTGGTTTATGATTTCGTTCTAATATAAACACAGCAAGTAAAATTGTTAATAAAAACTTTCATAGTAATAGTAACAAAACTCCAGAAAAATATGCGAGCAAAAAAGTCAAGTACGGCTTTGGATCAGTTGGTTAAGGTGCCCTGATTCTGAGCTTCACATTTGGCAAGACCCGAGTTCGATTCCTGGTACTTGCAGTCTCAAAAATAATTATTTACGAATAATTAAATACAAGAATTTTTTTCAAGACCACTGATGATGGGTATTTGACAATACTCGAAACAGCTGTATGGTCAGCCAAAAATTCAATTAATTAAAATAATATAAAAATAAAATTTTTGTTGTTGTATTTCACTACTGTTCGAAAAAAACCTCTTTATGAAATATAACAATATATTGATTAATTCAAAAGCCTCCACTAAACGAACTATTTCATTTTAGCTATCTAACTAATAGAACAGATTTATCAAAATATTAACCGAATGAAAGTACGTGAAGTATTCCAAAGATTTTGCACAATATATATTATAATGATTAAAATCGGATTAAGTTTTGTGATCGTTTTCTTTTTTGTAGTTTATCGGGTGATAACTAAAATACGTTATTCTTTTATTTGTGACCAAAAATGTTATATAATAATTTATTAGCGGGATAATTGATCTTTTAAATTGAAATAAAAAAACTATAATATATTATTTATATTTAAAAACAATTAATATTTTATTAAAATTTTTTTCTGATATTTCGAATACTTCCATAGGGAAACTAAGTTTCCCTGAAGATGAATATCGAAGATAGTCGAAATATCAGAAAAATATTTTTATGAATTGTTTTTATATAAATTGTTTTTAAATATAAACAATAAATAATAGTTTTTTATTTCTATTTAAATGACCAATTAGTCCGCTAATAAATTATTATAAAATACGTTATATAAATCTTATAAAGTTAATATATACCTATATATATATATATTTATATTAATACTTAGTATATAAAATAAAATTTATACTATATACATTTTGTATTACATAGATCATATGTATTATCTGTTAAAAAACAAAATCAGAACAACATATTTCAATATTTTTTTCTCACAAAATTACAGTATGAATATCAGTTTGAAGTGAAAGACTCTGAAAAAGAACTGTTCTTCAATAAAAACGAAGCAGGAGATGCTTCTGGAAAGGTATAAATTTAACTCAAGTTTATAAAACTATTTGATAATATATTTATATACTATTTAAGGTAAATGGACAATACTCTGTTTGGCTGCCAGATGGTCGTTTAATGACAGTCGTCTATACAGTAGATGCTGAAAATGGTTTTCAACCTGTAGTATCCTTCGATACCAATAACCCGCTTGGTTAATTTGGTCTCACTTTTAAAATTTTATTAGATACCTAATATGCCTAAAATAATAACAAACTATTCCAGGCTTATATATGCTTTTGCTTTGCCATTCTTTTGCTTTGAAATACACACACACAAATTAACAAATATAGGTTTAATATATTTATATCTATACTTATAAATATAATACATATATACTCAATGTCTTCTTAATCTTCTTCGTTATCCGCTACTCTATGTTATATATTATATATCGAAACGCCAAAATATATAATTCTATGGTAGAAATGTGTAAAATTTTTATGCATACATGTTCTATATAAAAAATTTTATGTACATATACAATATAAAACATATTAAAAATATACAAAAATTATAATTATATGTTATATATAAGTTATTATATAATAAAACATTTGAATCACTTTGTATGTTATTTCAAGAATTGTTTGATTTAAAAGTACTTGTTTTTTAATAAATAAAATAATTAAGCAATTTTCAATTATTTTATGTAAATATCAGAAAAAAATTAATTTATCTAAAAAAAAACTGTATACATAAAGAATTATTCTATTATATAGAATAATAGTAAAATTACGACTCAGTAAACTTTTCTGTCTTCAAATAATTTTAATAAACTTACCACATTTTTATTGTGTGTAAGAATCACTGCAACTCCTTTATTATCATACTGAGGTCTTCCAGCTCTTCCGATCATTTGGAGCAGTGTACTTTCCGAATATTCTTCTAATTTCCCACGGCAATAAAACTTAAAGTAAAAGCATAATAACAACAATGAATTTATATGTATATATTTTTAAAAAAATATAGTTTACCTCAGTAGATTTGATGACGACTAAATGTGCCGGTAAATTAACACCCATGGCCAAAGTGTTGGTACATAACAGAACCATTATTAACCGATTACGAAAACAATCTTCGACGAGTATGCGGTCTTCTAATGTTAGCCCGGCATGATGGAATCCAATACCAAGTATAAAATACTTCCGCAATTTGCTGTCATGTAGACTAAAGATACGAAGCACTTACATAAATATATATAGTTCGATTTTATTGCTTCTTACCTGGAAGATAAGTTGATGAGCACATTTTTTTGCGTGAAGCTCTGCAGAAACAAATTTTTATCTTTTTCCAAAACGGCTGCAGCCATTTCAACTGCCCTGCGACTGTTACAAAAAATCTAAAACGGTTAATTTTTTTTTTATAAAAATACATACATATATATATTGTAAGTGAATGCACGCAAAATCTTATAAAAAATATGAACTCTATCTGATAAATATTTATAAGCTTTTTTACTTACCAAACTCGATTGATGATCAGAATATTTCCTTAAAATATTTCCTAACTTATAATTTAAACTTATATCAAATGCAAAACCTTTTAACTTAGTTTTAAAACCAAGAATGTGCTTCTCTAACGGTACAGGTCTTTTCATTTCTTTAAAACTAAAATGAGATTCTTATTATTTACATGCATAGTTTATTACAACTTTCATATTATAAACATTTTAACATATTAAAAATATTTTAAATTTGTCTCCAGTTATTCATTTTTTTAAAATACGTACACTAATTTGGTTACATTTTCGTTTTTATATCCACCAATCCAACAAGCTAAATCCTCCACATTTGGTATTGTCGCTGATGCAACAATGATACGCACATTAGTTTTAGCGATGTCAGCAATGGTTTTCATACGAGAAATTATAGCTTCTAATACCGGTCCACGTACATCTTCACTGAGTAAATGCACTTCATCAACCATTAGTACTCGTACGGCACTAACAATGTCAATGTATTCACGCCAGTGTCGTGTTATTGAATCCCACTTTTCAGGTGTAGTCACAATAACCTGAGAATCTCGGATAACTGATACGTTGAATATATTCGAATCACCAGTAATTTGCGTGCATACCACATTGATTACTTCAAAACGTTTCTTCCAATCTATAAATTTTTCAGCACACAAAGCTTTGATTGGCGCAACATAAACAGCTTTTGCTGAAATAGATTCTCCAAATTTTATCTGTTGACTCTGTTGATGTAGTAAACGTATAATAGCCAACTCAAATGCTACAGTTTTTCCCGATCCTGTGGGTGCACTTAATACAATTGAATTTTCAGAATTTAACAAATCGTTAATGCATTTTTGCTGCATATAATTGAACTCAGCATAGTTTGAAAAAATTTGCCTATAAGGCAGAGCTAAATTAATATGGTTAAGGAAAGCGATACATAAAAAAGTCATGAATTCCCACACAAAAGTTATCGAAATATATTACAAAGGATACGAATATTATTCAAAGAATTATTATTCATATTGTTATTTAAATAAAACTGCCCAGCAGTTATAAAGATGGAGAACGCCTGAACTTAAGTGCTGCCAAATCCAAAAAAATATTTTAAATTAACAAAAATGTTGAAAAATACCCAAGGTGGCACTGTTTATATATCTAATTATCATATGTAGCAAAAGGGAACTAGCCTCTACGATGAAAAACTGGAATTTAAATATACACATTTTATTTGGCTGTATTTTAAAGTTTATTGAAAACTATTCATATTATTCATAAACTATAGTCAAAAAAAAAATATAAATATATTTTGTTCAAATATAACTAATTCTATAACTGAAAACAAAATTATGCAAACCGTAATGATATACATAATTCCATAGACAATAAATATTATATAAGAAATAGTATATTGAAAACGTAAACTAACATAAAATTATAGTCTTGCGTATGTATTAAATTTATTAAATAGTTTCTTAGTCAGTTTTTGGAGTCGGTTATGCTATCTTTGTTAAAAGTAATTTCTTCACTATTTTTATCTTCCTCTATGGCAAGTAATTCAACACCATCACTTTCGTTTTTATCGTCGGCTTCGTTTTCATTTAGCATTTCTGTTAAAACGTCAACAAGGTTGCGAGTTTCCTCCAACATTTGACGTGATGTATTTAATTCTTCTTCTAATCCTGCAATGCGTTCGTGTAAATGTTGATTTTCTGCAAGAGTTTCTTCCAAAGCTTCGCGGCGCTTTTCTGCTAAGCGTTCCCAGTAACTTTCACTTGGTTTGGCATCGCTTGTTAAATCTTCAACAGTTATTTCATTTGCGTCCACTTTTTTATCTGGACTAGTCTGAGTTTCAACAGCTCGCGTATCAGTTTTTTTTCGCTTGGCATATTCCGTTGTGGCCAAGGCGGCATCAGTAGCGCTAAAACGAATTAAATTTAAAATAACAACAAACATAAAGTTTTTAATGAAAATGTAGTAATTATGCATTAAATACGAAACATTTTTACTTACGCTTTAAGGCGACTCAGCTTGTCAAGTTGAGGTCGCCCAGCAAGGTTTTCTTTATCGGTGGCAACGCCTTGCAATACTTTCAAGGTTTTACGCTGATTTTTTAAATGTTCCTGCATTGATATTAATGGAAATGCTTGACTTATGATAATATGCTTCATATTAAATGTATAAAAAAAAATAATATTTAAATGTAGATTAGTATGCAATGAAAAGCACCTGGCCAATGTGCGCAGTATGAGAAATATGTTTATATTGCGTATTTGTTGCATTCAGGATGAGTGACGCCAATGTTGCGCTTACCTGCTGTTCGGATGCAGACTCAATTTGTATGAATACCTTTTTTGCGGATACATTAGACATTTTCACTATTAATTAAAAACTTAATTTTAGGATGTAACTCTTAACAAAGAGTATGTACGATAATATAACCGAATATATTATTTACAATCAATTAAATCCCTTGTTTTACCAAGCACAACAAATGTCAGTTTGTTTAAGCGCCAAAATTGTTGAAATATGTGAAGTTAGCTGCGATTCGCTTGATTTAAAAATACCAAATACATACAAATATTTTATTAATGTAAAAATAATGCAAATGGTATGAAATGCTTTGAAATTAATTTATTAATATAATATATGTTAAAGTTAATACAACCCCATATTGGTTATAAATAGTTCAAAAATTATGCCACTAAATTATTACACAATGGACGTTCATACGTATGTTTGTAAATAAATATACTGATACAAATTGGTCATTCTATTGAGTTCTATATCGGATAATCCTTTGAATTTTCAAAGAATTGAACAAAGTACATTTTTAAGAATTTTGAAGTACATGGATTCTTATTAATAGGTAAATTACCGTTTCCATACATTATTTAGTCATCCTTATACTATGTTTACATTACGAACTTTGCTAAAGTTGATTCAGCGTTTACATTATCGTTTCGGGTTTTCATTTTGACAGTTGCTGTTTATGTTATCTTTTGTTTACATTTGTTTTGTTTACATTTTGAAATATTGTGTTTGTTTACTATATATTTTGATGAAAATTATGGATCAAAATATAATTACATTACTCTGCAGTGAATCTGCACAACAAAATAAAATTCTCAATAATGATTAAATTACATACGAATAAAACGCCGTAAAAAAATTGCCAAAATATTGCAATCAATAGCGGCAAATAAATACAGAACATTTTACAATTTCTTAGTCTAAGAAAAATTGCATATAATGAACAGAATGAAACAAACCTAGCAAATAACAATTAACAATTTTGTTAAAAACTTGTATAAAAGTTTAAAAAATTAAAAATTCAAAAATTAAAAAAATCAAAAATGAATTTGTAAATTTTTAATAACTTTCATTAAAAATCAATTTCATTCAAAACTATTCATCACCTTTTTTATTTGAGTAATCCGAATTCGAGATTAAACATTGCAGTAATAAAAGAAAATTATTTTAATAACAAAAGTTTCTATAAATACAATTGTTGCTATATTTCCTTTTTTATATGCAACTTTCTTTATATAGGTATAGAAAGTTTCTTTCTACTTAACACCGCTTACATTCAACTTATTGTTGTTATGTTATGTTTATCTATCTAAAGTCTGTTTTATAGAAAACAATGAAATAATTAATAAAGAAATTCCCCTTAATGAGTATAATTGATGTGTATGTTTGATAAATAATTTTTTTTAATTAGTTTGAACAAATATATAGGCTTTTGTATAAACTGAATAACATACTAAAGGTATTCAAAGATGTTCTGCAACTAATTGCATTTGGTATAATGAATAATTTTATTAAAGTTGTTTTGTACTAAAAAATATAGTTTTCGATTGATTTCAAATATTTTTTTTTCCAAATCGACAAAAAGATAAAAATCTCAACATATGAAAATAAGTTATTTTTATTTAGGACTATAAAGAATTATTAAGTTTTCGGAGAATTTCTTTATATTTTCTGCACCTCGTACTTCTTTCTCAAGTAATGACAATTTGGTGACATTAAAATCATGAATTTATATAAATCAGCAATTTGTTCTAATTATTTTTCTTGTATCTGAAAATAAAATCATTTTATGTATATAAAAAAAGAGATATGTATAATGATATGATAAAGCACCTTATATCTGGAAGAGCACATGCTACATGGGACGTGTGCGAGTTAGGCTAAGTTGATGCTAAACTAAATGGGAGATTGGTTGTTGGTTTTCCTTCATACCCAGTAGAAAACGGATCGATCCGTCATCGAAGACGTCTTCAAGACATGGATACATACATGAAGACCGATCGATCCAAATGTATGACGGTCTTCGAAGCATCTTTCATACAAATTAGCCAAATGTCTTCAATGAATTTTTGCGTACATGTCTCGAAGACCATGTCTTGCATAACGGACGCATTCGACAGAAAGTTGTGCGGTCTTAGTGCAGTGCTCATATAATTTTTTCACCCTTTTTTTTATTTCTACTCTTTTATTGCGCTTTTTAAATTTTAAATGAATTTCAATTTTCTCTTTAAATAAGTAGAAAGAAATTGTTGTATTTTGTACTTTTATTTATTTTATATAATAATTTTTTACATTACATTCAAAATTAAAAGTTTAAAGTAAATTATAAATTTTATTATAAATTATTATAAATTTTATTAAGATATTAATAATAAACTAGTAAAAACTAGTAAACATAATGAAAATTAATTTAAATAATTAACTTAATATAACTTAGCATATCTAAAATTAACTAAAACTAATATAAAATAATTTATAGCATTTCGCTATCATCTATTGTTGAAGTTTTATATGTTTTCAAAAGCGTTGAAGAGGATTTTGGTACAATTAAACCTTCTGATCTTAAGAGTTTTAAAATATCATTACCACAACGCCTGTTAATCCTGTGTCTTTTAAATATAACAGCTAATTTTTCACAAGTGTTTTTAGTTTTTTTATTTTCAACATCCTTTGTTTCGTTTCTTAAACAACTTTCACTGGAATTATTGTCTTCAATATTAATATCAATATATTTTCCAGGAACTAAGTCAATATTTCATTTGTTTTGATTTAATTTCTTTTTTTTAATATTTCATAGTTTAATGATTTTGTTTCTTTATTCATTTTGATTTTTTTAATATTTATTTCACAAATGTTTATTTACTACACTTCAAAATTATTGCGTCACTTCATTTATAAAACATAGCGTCATCTGAGGCAAAATTCAAATTCGTTGCTATGAACACTAAAAATGAGAGAGGAAGCAAAGAAAGAGTATTTATATTCATGTTTTGAGCAATTGTTTTGCAAATTTGCTTGAACATGCGGACGCGGTATCAAAGACCGTCTTGAAGACAATGTCTTCGAAGACCACTTTTTCTACGTAAATAATAGTTGGTTTACATGTGTGTGTGTCAATGCCACATTTTGTTACACATGTAAACAAACAAAAGTGTAAAAAAAACGAAATGTCACTTCGCTATTTTCATACTAAAAACTTATCGATAACGCATTAAATTCAGCACTGTATTCAAGAAAAGGTATTAAATGAAGCCAACTTTCGGTCAAAGTTCGAGTTTTGTTGTGTCTATTTTTATATGGCAAAATCGACTTTGGTTGCTGGTTTTGCGCTCAAAGTCGATTCCAACCAGCAAAGTTCGTAATGTACACATAGTATTATATCAGCACTTAAATAGTTAGTAATATAACAATAAACGAAATTTATATTGATCAAGTTTTTTTAAGTACTTTCTGAAAACAGTTACAAAAAAATAAAATTTTCATGTTTAACTAATATATGTATATCTCATTTCATATATGTCAGGAATTCATCATTTACAATACATGACCCAATATTAATTAATTGATACTTTTAACATAATACTATTTTGTTTTGTTTTTTCATTTTTGAATTACTAATTATTAATCTTTTTCTTAAAATTATGTAATAAATTATCTAATATATTTTTCTTGTTTTAATAAAAATGTTCAAAAAATGTTTTCATAGATATATAACATCTAAATGGAATAATTTTATGTATAAAAATAATTTCGTCCTCTTTTCTTCTGTCAATTAAAATATCTTTAAACAGATAAACTTAATCAGCTTAAAATAAATAAGTTCTCGTTAAAAACTTATAAGAATATTGATCGAAATTATATTATTATAGCATTTTAAGTCGTCTGATTAAAAAGTATGTTACACATTTTTTTAAATAACTGCGATTCTTTTTTCGAAATAGATTAAACGTACCTTTTCATTTTATAAGAAATTCGGAACACACCCCAAGAGACAAGCGTTCAGTCAATAAGTCTGAGCTGGGAAGTGTTTTTGTTGTGAATACATTTATAAAAATGTATAATTACTAATTTTGTTAGTTGTGATATATGTACAAAAATAGAAATAGATAGAAAAAAAATAAAACATGTTCTGACCATAATATATTATGATATTTCTTTTAAAGGAGAATTCATTGAAAAAATAAAATTTGATTAAAACAACGCTCATATTTAGCACGGCCGTTCAGTAGCTGTCATTGAATTTGTCTGTTTCACATCGTCGGCTTGATTTGAAAATACGAAAAACGAATAGAAACGAGTAAAAAGCAAGTTGGTGACTATCAAAGAAATTTAAGTGCAATTATTTCCAAGACTTAATGGCTGATAATGGAAACTTAAATAGAAATTATCATTATTTAAGGGATAATAGAATTTTTATTGACAGCGGTCATACAGAAAGCGATGCAACATTTCGACGCTTACGAAACGATTTGCATCCACCAGTATTTATAACTTGTTTAAGCTGTTTGGAATCGTTCCAATGTACATCATTTCTGCAAGTTTGTGAGCATTACGCTGAACGCGACCACCCAAATTTTTATAAAAATTGTTATTATTGTACTGGCAAAGTGCATCAATATCAGACCGAAAACCATTTAGAACAACGTGTGCATATATATCACGATTGTTTTCGCTGGAAAAGTGGAATAGATAAGTAAACAAAAAATGGAAGAAGAAATATTTCCAGATACTGAAATTTGTGAAACAAATTTAATTGTGGAACGTATAGAAAGTGTTGATTCCATTGAATCAGACTACTCTGATAGCGGTCGGATTGAAGATGATGCAAGCAGTTTAAGTTCTCGTAATACAGGCGCTATTAATGGTTTTGGTAAGCGCTGGTCTAGATTAGAAGATAGTTTACTTAAACGATTGGTATCAGAGTATCCAGAAAAATGGGATTTTATAGCAAATCATTTTAAAGATCGTACTGAACAACAAGTCCAGCAGCGCTGGGCTAAAGTTTTAAATCCTGAACTTATAAAAGGACCTTGGACTCCTGAAGAGGACCAAAAAGTTTTGGAATTAGTGCGTCGTTTTGGTCCAAAAAAATGGACACTAATTGCACGTTACTTAAACGGTCGTATAGGTAAACAGTGTAGAGAGCGATGGCACAATCATTTAAATCCAATAATTAAAAAAACTGCTTGGACGGAACAGGAGGATCGAATTATATTTGAAGCGCATCAGCAATATGGTAATCAATGGGCAAAAATAGCCAAACTGCTACCTGGTCGTACTGATAACGCTATTAAAAATCATTGGAACTCAACTATGCGAAGAAAGTATGATACTAATCGTGAAACTCCTACAGTTAGACATTGTCCAGATCTACAGAATTCACGTGCTCATTTATCTACTTTAATTAAAGGTAGTTCGGCACTACTTACACCTACTCTTTCACTGTCGGCTCAAATTCTACAGAGACCCGCTTCTGGGCTATACAAATTTATACAACAAGATAAAGCAACAACTTCGAATACAGGAACAAAAATACAACAGTCACGTTCACAACCTAATATCCTTAAACGTGCCAAGCAACAATCTGAAAACTGTCAGATTGTTTCAAGTACTGATTTAGAAGTTGATGCAAAGGATATTCTTAAAACAGAGGTGAAATTACCTGATTCACCTGTTATGACACCAATTAAACCTTTACCGTTCTCTCCAAGTCAATTCCTTACGTCACCTTGTTTGACAACATTTGAAGATATGAATTTACGTGCAAGTACACCAGTTGCTAAAACTTATAATCGCGTCGGTATGGAAATTAAAAAGGAATTGGAGAACTCTTCTATAGAAACACCACAAAAGAGTAAATATTACTTTTTTATTAATATATTAGATATAAACGCTATAGCTTTCTGTATTTTACATTTCGTTATAGGCTTTATAGGCCCACGCACTCCAACGCCATTTAAGGATGCTTTAGCTGCTTTGCAGAAAAAACGTCGAGGTGAACGGTATATTCCTCCTAGTCCTTCAAGTCTCGTAGAAGATTTAGCCGAAATTATACATGACGAAACAATGAATAGCAACACAAATGTAGCTATCAAAAAGGAAAATGAATCAGTTGTTAGCAATAGCGAATTTTCGACATCAGCTACGAATGTTTCGTTGCAAGTACCTCCTACGAAGAAAGCACGAAAATCACTTATAACCAGTTGGGGTGAAAATATAATGCCGAAATCTGAAATAAAACTTGAAAAACCAATGCCTTTTGAAACTGAAACTCCAAGTAAATTCTTAACTTCTCGCGATTCCAGTGCGTTCTCACCACAAAATATAATGAAAGATACGCTTTGTAGTGAAACAGAATTATTATTAGACATTAATGAAGAAGCCAAGAAAGAGAACTGCATACAACAGGCTCTATACCACCTACCGTCTAGAAGCCGAATTGGTCAACAGTTCTTAGATCCAAAATGGGAGAAACTTGCATGCGGCCAAACGAAGGATCAACAATTTATGGTGCAACAAGCACATGCTTGTTTAAAAAATCTTTCTTTGACACCTCGATCATTAAATTTTGAAAAGCAAAAGTAGTAATGTCCGTTATAAATTATAGTTACAAAGAAGCCATTTTGTGCTGTGGTACTATTGAATATTTAATTCCACGTTAATACATTTTATTTGGCAACCACTGTCTATAGCACTTGTATCAAAATATTTTAAGCTAATATATTTGTATTAAATTTTGCATTCGAAAATTAATAAGTAGATGCTTAGGTTAGTCCAAAGATTTATTAGTAGTTATAATCTATTTAAAATAGGCATCGTTCTATCAATATAATTTTCATTAATATATGTTTTACATAAATTATTTTATACTGCTAGCAAAACAAACAAACGTTAAATTAATTGTTTAGTATTTTGAAGTTGTTTGGATATTTGTTTTTTTTTTTACTATACCATTGAAAACTTAGATGAATAACACAAATGAATTCAAATATTTTTTTACGGATTGTACATTTTTATATTAAATAAATATATATAATAATAAACGTACATAATATATATTTAAAATTGTTTATCTCAAACACTAAACGATGGACAATATATAAACTAAGGGGGCTTAATATAAATAAATATATTCTAAATTTTGATTATATTTATCACATAATTGTCTGCTGATTCAATTTTGGACAAAGAAATAAAAGACATAACATCTGCATTTAATTTTTATTAACTCATAATCAGACAAATGGAATGAAAAAAATATATATTTTGATTAGGTAAAAAATGTGCAATATCACACGATATGACTAAATTAGTTAATTTTTCTTTTGCTTAATACTGGTAGTCTTTTTTCTAGCACAGGCAAGTACCCAGAAAAGTACCCAAAGTGGAAAGAAAACTGCTGTTATGGTATTATACAGCCAATTGCCATAAATCTGAAAACAAAACAAAAATTAATACTTGAAATATTAAATCAAATCCAAGCGCTTACAATACAATCCATTAGAGCGTAAGTGCTGGCATTCATGGTAGCGCTGATTGAACGGTAAACAATTTCCTTTGAAATCAATTCTGGGAACTTAAATATTGTCAAAACAAAAACGATAAGATAAGCAACTATAATTGGATTTAAAAAGAGAATATAAACAACTGATATGCTCTTTCTCATTCCTCCAGTACTCGGAAACTTTAGGATAATTGTAAGAGGTGAACACATAATAGCTAAAAAGAATCCCAATGCGAAATTTAATAATCCTACGACTATTAGCGCAATACCAAGTAATAGCAAAGCTCCAATGTGCAACAACTCTGTACCTCTTTCTGGTAAACGCGTTACAAATGGTAATGATACTCCAATTAGTACACAAATTCCAAGAATTAAATTCACCGCAAATAAAGAATTTGCTCCAATTGAATGAAAATAGTTACGTAAGCCTTCGTTTAATGCAATAATATTGCATAATATGCCGAGTGCTACAGCTACACTAATGTACCCAAACACTGCTAGGTATGGTAATTCAGCAGTTTGTGTATTTGCTGTAGGCTCTTCCTCAATTTGTTCTTCCTTTTCATCATCGTTTAATGAATGCCAAAGTAAAAATGACTTAATAAACATTGGTGCAGTAAGCAATATTAAACAAGGAATAAAGTCTCCAATTGATACAAAGCGGTCATTTTGTACCAAAATATAAAAGAAATAACTTTGATGAAATCGTTCCAAAAGATTATTCAGACTACGCGAAATGCCCTCAATTGTTTTCAATAACGACAATGTTGCAGAGCTGCGATTATTGTTTGTATTTGTTGCGCGTTTTACAGCTTCCAATGTCAGCGCTTCAATGCGATAGCGATGAAAAAGCCCATGGTTACCGGTTGGTATACCAGAAACTTGGGATAATAACATGGAAGACATATGTTTTACGTTATCTTCGAGCGTAGCATAATTAGAGCGTCGTTTTTTTCGGGGTGTTTGCTTGTAACCGGATGAAATACCTTCACGTGCAGTAATACGTTGTACTAAATTAAATAAATCCAAGTTTGGCAACTGTCCATTAAGGCCTTCTATTTTGACATCAATATAATCTATATAAAAATGGATTATTATATTATATTTGATAAATGAAATACTTCTTAATTCTACCTATGTCCAAATCTTGCACTTCTATATTAATAGCTGCCTGTAGTGCTCCTGCACGCGCTGGTATATTACCACATTTCAAAATTGGCGAGTCTTTAAATCCTCCTTCATAGTAAGCTTCTAACCATGCATGCATGCCCAACTGCTCTTGTTCAGTAATGAGAAAAATAAGATCCTTAGCCCAATAATTTTTTGCTAAAAAACAAATTTAGTATTTAACAAATTTTTATAAAGCGAAAACTCACTTCTAGCGAAATTGGCAAACGCTAGTAAAACAGGTACACTTGCTACGATATCTGTATGCACGGATGTGGGAGGGCGGTATGGAGCTGTGAATACTATGCCTTCAGTAGATCCAATGCGAGGCGCACGTAAAATGCCATATATATTTTTGCCTTGGTATTCCTTACCTCCAGAAAAAGGGTAACGCAAAGTAAAATTGTGAACATGTGTCTCCAATCCAATTTGATTCATTTTAGCTACAATCCAAGCATACGGCATTACAGATTTGTATTGCGCCTGCTCCCGCTGTAATTCCTCTGTTAAAGTCTGTGCTAGTCGACTCGCATCTTGTCTGACTTCCGGATACACCAAGCCTGTAAAAATTCAGGATTAAAAGATTCAATACTACTGGGCTAATAGAACAATACCAGGTGATAAAGCATTTTCTGACAAGTATGTTCCGTGATTAAACTCGTTGTGACCCAAACACACAAACCATGTTAACCCGAGAATATAAAATAACAAACTAATTTTTTCAATATGCTTTGTTAGAGCGCGACCAATTTTACTACGCCGTTTAAATGAAGGATTTGATAACAAGCCCATTTTAATTAGACACTAACAAAATACCAATTCAGCACCAACCGTACGACGAAAAAAATATAATACAACAAATGTTTTCATGCAATCAAATGTCATTGATGTTGTAATTATCGATTACTTGTCTAAAAAACGAGTACCGATTTAAATTTTCATCAAATAAATATTTTATTAAACATTAAATAATTTTTATAATCTATAATTAATTTAAAGCAATAAAACATAGTGAATTTTTAATACCAAGACTAATTACATATGCACATATATTAAAAAATAGTAAATTTAACTTATATAAATCTAAAAATATATTCAATAGTTAAGTTATAGTAATTTTTTGAATTTGGATCCAATTGGAAATCGTTTCGGTGGAACCCATCGTAGAAATGCAGGATCTACTGTTAATTTTGGTTTTCTAAATTGTGGTAGTTGCAGATGTTCGATCACTGTTTTGGGTGTCACACAGATAACATGTTGTCCCTTCCAATACTTCACCATTTTCATAGATTGAAGGGTGTATATAATATCATCTTGAGTAATACCACTTATTTCACTCAATTCTTTAATACTTTGTGTTGTAGTACGACACTCTTTCATAAAATCCAGTAAAGTGTAAGCCCAGTAACTACGATAGCTTAATTTTCCTAGGTCTGATAATGGTTTCTCTGGGCTACCAATAATTCCTTCGCGACGTGATAATTCATAACTAAATGCAATTAACAATTTTCCATACCCTTTGCGTTGATATGGCGGTAATATAAGAATGCATGCAACATTATTGTTTTCTGGTGATTCCTTTTCTTTAGAAAAATATCCAACAATATGCATTCCGCGTCTGTCGATTTCACATAGCACATAAAAGTAAAATGGTTCAACATCGTAATATAGTGTTTTATGATCAAGAAATAATTTTGCCATCAAGCAAAGCATTTGACAGTACAGTTTATGGTCTTTGCCATCTATTTCAAAAATAGATATTGTCCCCTTACGATAAATTTCGTTTCCAGGAGGTTGTCGTTTTGAACAGTCTGAAGCATGATATCGATATGTTTTTTGAAATCTCATATATTTTAAGCAATATTCGCAAACGTAAAGTGTACTTTCTTTGCCATACTCCTCTGGATATGGACTGAAGTACCACGTATCAATTTCATACCGTCCAATACGTAATTTGTCAATATATTTCACTTTAGTTATTGCTTCATGCTCTTTTTCTAAAGCCGCCGTTGTTGGATCCATTTCAGCATAAGTTTTTTGAACATGATTAATTTCATCATGACGTCTTTTTTGATTACGCGTTAATTTGCGGTCGCTGTTTTCCAATGGTAAAGGATTTTCTAAAGACGCGATTTGTTCTTTACTTAACTGTTTAAGTGTCTTCGCATTGTTGCTATCTGCTACATCGGATCCGGCAGCGCTATCAACATCTGTTACATCAGTTATTCGATCACGAGAGACCCATTCATCTAACCTTCTATTCAGACCAACATAGTGAACATAAAATTCAGCTGGAGCATTAGATGTTTCTTCACTTCTGCATTGTATAATTTGAGCTGGGTGTACAGTGCCATCTGGTCTTCGAATAGCATATACATCACCAGTGCTAATTTCCATATCAACATTTTGCTCTTTGAAAGATGTTGTATTTCCGTCATTTGAAATTTGTTTATCGATCTCTGGCTCGCTTGGTAACTTTTTTTCTGTTGCCGGTGTCATGTTGTTTTGTTTTTCATGTAGTTCTTTTATCTGCTTTTCCGTTTCATTTGTCTCATTTGGTTTTTTTAAATCTCCACATTCATTGTCTTTATTTGTTTGAATATCCGTAATCGTCATAATTAAAATTGTGAAAATCGTATAAAATATACCAAATATTTTTTTTACAAAACTCCACGAAATTTTTTATGTGCCCCGCTTGTTTTTATTTTTGTAATTTGTTTTTGTTCATTAAATTACGCAGGGAGGTATACATGCACTGTTGCCAAGTTTCTAAGACGAGTTCTACCAAATTCGCTTTAAATCAGTAACACTTACACAATGAGTGTTTCGAAATTTTTGCTGTTTTATGCAGCTAATTCATGGAACCATGTTTTTAATTAAATTTAATTATTAATTATTAAAATGAAATCTTTTAATTAAAATTGGTAGTGAGGTAAAAACTTTTAATTAATTAAAAAATAGAGAAAATATAAATTTGTTTGTTAGAAATTGTTTGACTAATACGATTATCTTTACAGTTAATTCATTCAATTGAACGTTTCAGTTTTCTTGTGCTTAAAGGTAAACCGACAGTGCCGCCTATTCTTGGAGCGTTCGGCATGACTCCGAAGGCAGCATCTTCCAGGAGTGAGCGTTGGTGGCACGGAGATACAGTGGGAGGAAAGCATAAAATATCTAGGGGTCACTTTTGACAAACGGCTTAATTGGTATAAACATATGAAATGCAAACGAAATAGTTGCTCTAAAATTCTGCATCTCCTTAAACATCTCTACATCAAAAATAGAAAGTTATTATTAACTCAGGAAGACGCACAGGAAGATATGATGATTTACGGTCCGTCATCAGTTAGAAAATAAATAAATGATAATGATTCTTGTATAGTTAAAGTTTAGTGTGTGGCAGGGATAAGTCCCCCAGCCACAAAAGTGCGCAATAGCACTAATTCAAATCACAACAACAAAGAATTTTATTTAAAGCCAAATTTTGAATATTCGTTGATACTACAATCGTTATTTGTGTGTATCACTTCGTAATGCACAGTGAGTGTTTTGAAAAACCCTGGCTTACTTCTTTTGGGAGAAAAGCAAGCATCTAGTGAAGAAAGTGACGTTATCTTCACGCATATATATCATCATGATATTTTTTGGAGACTATCGGTGCGTATAAAAAGTCTACATGTAACTGCATTGAGTTGTCATGAATTATGAATATAGGATTCGTTTATTTTTTAAGCAACCCTGGTGTATAAGTGTAGAGAAAAAAGTCAAACATACAATTGATACAATTTTATTAACTAAGTTAACATTTATATTTGTTTTCTAGGAAATTGAAAAGTGTGTGTTCAAAGAAAAACGAAAGTATTGAGTTGTATAAATAAATCAGCTGTACTGTGTTAAAATTATTTGTTCACCAAAAATTTTACTCGTATATCTGGTTTATTTTTCTAACAGAGAAGTAAACAAAAAATTATTAGTAAGGAAGATATTAATTCAGTAAAAAAAATTTATTTAAAAAAATGAGTTCGGTGAGTGTGCAGAATTTTTATTAAATAGGAAATTAATATTTTATTAAATATATGTACATATATACAGATTTCAAATGTAGAAAATCTTTCTCCTCAAACCATTCGTCATGTTATGAAGGAAATGCAGCAATTGAGTGAATCGCCATTAGAAGGAATTAAAATACAAATCAATGACACTGATGTGACTGATATTCAGGCTCTTATTGAAGGCCCTGGTAAGTAATTTTGATTTCTATCGTGACCTTCATAGCGAAAATCAATACGAAATTTTTTATAGTCAATATATAATACTTGTGAATAAATCTTAATTAGTGTAACTGTTGTTAATTTAAGAAAAATAATAAAAAAATATATAATAGATATATATTTTCAATGCCTTTTTAATAAGATTCTGGATTCACTTATTAAAACGTATAATAAATCGTGTATTTAAAATTTTAATTTATTTATTATTATATGTTTCAGCTGGAACTCCATACGCTGGAGGTGCTTTTCGCATAAAGCTAACACTCGGAAAAGACTTTCCGCAGTCTCCGCCAAAAGCGTACTTTTTAACAAAAATATTTCACCCGAATGTAGCAGCCAATGGTGAAATATGTGTAAATACATTAAAGAAAGATTGGAAGTCGGATCTAGGAATCAAACATATTTTACTTACTATAAAATGCCTTCTAATAGTACCAAATCCAGAATCAGCTCTAAATGAAGAAGCTGGAAAATTATTGCTGGAACGTTATGATGATTATTCGCAACGCGCAAAAATGATGACTGAAATACATGCGCAGGTAAATGTCGCAAAAAATGTTCAATTTTAAAATTGTTTCTTAATTGCAGTTCTTAAATTGCAGTTTACAAAAAATGGTGAAGCTAAAGATGATGATGACGGTCCACTATCTAAAAAACATGCCATCGATAAGAAGCTGCAGGACAAGAAGAAAGAAAAACTTATGAAAGAAAAGAAACGTATGCTTAAAAGATTATGAACCAATTTCTAAATTTTGTTACTAAATGCGCGCCACGCAAGATTCACTGAATTTTTCACCCCAAACACCATCATTTATTATGTATTGATTTTGTTCACTGTAAGAATCATTAAAAAATTAAATTTTATTTTAAAAAACAATAATTACAATTACCTTAAGGAAATTTAGAAATTTGTCAACATTATTTGTTAAGAGAGTTAAACTGTTAAATAGTTATATTCGATTTAAATTAACGTATAATCCTTTAAGCAATGCACTTGAATTAGTGTATCACTGAGATTATACATAAATATTATTTTTACCAGAACATAGAGATTTTGTAATTATTAATTTTATATTTCTTATTTTCTGATAATTATTCTATACAATATTTAATTTTTATTATTTGTAAGTCTAACAATATGAATCATCTTAATTATTTTCACATGTAGAGTAATAGTTTGAAATTTTGAATTTTGCAATATATTACGGCATTTAAAAATTATCAAATATTAATACCATTGAAATCAATTTAATTTAAATAAATATAATTTATAATAAAGTTGTATATCAAATTACTTTGAATGTTAATAAAAAAGATCTAAGATACAATAAAACATTTTTCAGTAATATCTGTACGAAAGTATAAGATAAATTTAATATTCAATTTTAACTTGAAATTAATGTAGGAGTTCTTACTTAACCATAGTTAATATGAAATATGATATCCATCAAACTATCTAATGCAGGGTAAACTGATAGAATGTTATTTATTTATTTTATTTGAATTATAATTCAATTAATTTAATATATCATTTTAAGACTACGAGTTTAAGCTGCTAAAATTTAAATTTAAGTGGTATGTACATACATATATACGCGTATAGTAGAGTTATTTCTGACAGCAGAATTATATCAATAAAGATTATCGAAATCACTGTAGTTCAGAGATTTAGCAGTAGTAGCAGTAGCAGTGGTAATAGTAGTTGTAGAGTTAAACTAGTCTCTTTGTTGTTTTCCATATACCAGAGTTGATAAGATCCATAGTTACTACATACATAAATATGTAGTTAAAATATTTCGACAAAATAATGTAGGATGGAAAAGTTAACGAGATATTGGCATTTTAAGTGAGATTTAAAACATAACAAAATAACCATACAAACTACCACAAAAAATCTTTATATAAAAATTTTTTTCGGAACGTGTTCTTTTATTTCACAATTTTTTTTTTTGGTTTGCGGAATATTCTATTAATTTTGTAAAATTTTTACAGGTTGAGTTAATAAAAAATAGTACGTTTGAGAAACATATATGCATACCACAGTTTGTTTATTTTTTAAAAAAAAATCTAGTTTAGTTCAATTCAGGAAATTTCACTCAGTGATAAGTGAAATCACTGGCTTGTCTTTTATCTACAGAAATATTTTTGAAATTGCAAAAGTGTAAGCATTTTTTATAAGCTAAGTCACAGCTATAAAAATGTATATCTTGTTAACCTAATAAAGTCTCTTATGGAATTTATTATCTCTAAGCTCAGCAAATTTTCCATTGAATGTGCTTTTTTTCGATTAAACTGAAATCAATTCAATGCATATGGAAAATTAATTTGCTATGGACTCTAAGATTTATTAAAAAAAATATTACTTTAAATAATTTTAAAATAAGAATTTAGTAATTCATTCATTGATGGAGAAAGTGCTACTGTTTCAATATTGTTTTCATGTACAATATCATGTTGCTGAAGCTCGGATCCTGGACGTTCCTGGGCAAGTTACTTTAATTTGCCTTTTTTGCTAATAGTTAGACTCTTACGACGATTGACTGATTCCTTGATGTGGGCGGAAGCAGTTTAATATCGTTAAATAAAAATATCACTGGCTTAAGATTAAAAAAAAAAAGAAAAACATAACATTGACAATAACAATGTTAGAAATGTATAGTCATAACGCTGACCTGTTTTCAATTGCTAAAGTTATCAGTACTGAACGGTATAAACGGCTATTGAGAAAATAGATCACTTTTCCAAATATGTGAATTATAAATTTAAAAGTTAAATTCAAAACTCCAACTATTAAGTTTTTCTACTTTAAAGTTACTTTGAATAGTATCATAAGCCGATACAATCGATATTTTTATAGACTATTCGAAAATAGAATTGGGACCTGTAAAATCTGTATTGCGAACAACATTTGCACTTTTGGTAAGATATCCAACTTAGATTCGTGTTGCTAATGAATGTTTTGAAGAGTAAAGATTTTGATAAGACCAATCGTTTATCAAAGTTAAGGGTTAAGGGTTAAAAAGTTGCAAGCTGTATTAACAACTTTTCTAATGAAATAATGTGAATAAAGAAGAATGCTCTCACAGAAATATTTATCTTAATAAATATGAAAATGATCCCTTAACACTATTTCAAACATTTGGCATTTTTAATCTGCTTCCTTGGCCATGATTCTAGTGCAAATTGTCGGTTTCTTTAAGATCTGTCTTTGATTTGTACGATCTTCAATAAATTTTTAAGTTAATGATATAGATTCTAACATTCTTACAAATATTGTTTTCCTATGCTGTTTTTATTATATCTTATTATATCTATATTTCTGATGACTAAGAAAAGGCTCTTATTTTCAAGCCTGTTTTCAGTCATTTTGGATCCTTCCCGTTTTTCTTTATCTATGCAGTGTAGGTAAATTTCCTATGACATAGATCATTGGATCTCCTAATTAACGAATCTCTAATTTATTTTTATTATAGATTTTCATTTTTAATAGTATAAACTGCCATTATAATTCGCGTAATTAATCATTTCTTGAAATTGTAGTAAACAATATTAGAATATAATCAATTATTTCAAATGTAAGTTTAACACTCAATTATTCAATAAACAAAAATATATCTTGCTTGTGTGTATATATATATTCCTATATAAAATATAAATACTGAATTTGTAGGGGTGTAAAGTGTTCCCCTACTAACCATAACTGTTCGTTTAAATTATTTTTTAAGTGGGTTAATTTTTTTTTTGTTTTAGTCAATGGCTGTAAATAAATGCAAACAAGTTTGAACAAATCGCACCATATTTATAATAAATGTAAGTAATTAATGAATCTGGCTAACTGGTCGAGAATTGAAATGAATATATTTAAATTAGAAAACTTAGCAGAGTCTGTGTGAGTGCAATCAGAAACTTACTATACTACATAATTTTAAGGACTAAGCTTGGAACAGAAATAATGTTTTATTGATGTCGTTAAACTATTATTAGTATAGTTGGTATCAATATCAGTATCAAAAAAGAAACACAAAATCAAATTTGAAGTGTAAGTCATTATTTCATATTTTATTTAATTACAAAATAATCAAAATTTTTTCTGACATAGTCATAATAATCAAGTGCATGCGTCTAGCACGACTCTGAATTGAGATCTTACTTACCTCTCGAAGTGTATATGTAATACATTATGACACTCTGCAAATAAGAATTTTGAAATGTAACTCAGCTACACAAAAGCCAACTAGATATCTCCAAATTTTACTAAATACAAAGTGACTAATCGAGTAAAAACAACTTCAAGTTAGCATAGTAATTTCCCTTGTTTGTTTAAAAAAAATAATAATAAATAAAATTGTGAAGATCAGATAGATAGTGGCGTAGTTGAGGGTTTTTTTATTAGGTGTTGATATTAATATATAATATAACAAATAATATAATAAAACTTTATAATATGTAACTTTGTTAAAATATAAATCAATAGGAGAGCAGGAAGCAGTTTAATTTTAATTCCCAATGTGCTATCCAAAAAAGTGTGGTCGCATCTGATCTGCCCTTTCTGCTATTGCTACTTTTGATAATATATATTTATAAGTTATAGCTTACGTTATAAACATTATAGTAGGATTTTATTGATTCAATATTTATTGTTACTAAAGCAACTCCATACTACTACAATTTATTTCAATGAAAAATTTTATTTATGGTTAATATCGAAGTCTTAAAAGTTACTAAAATTTCTATTGTAATATATAATGATTTATATCAATGCTAGGCTAATATAGAAGTTACATAAATCAAAATATCTTACCTACACACAAAATAGTAAAGGTGCTAAACGACTTTAAATCTCGGCATTGTTACTTAATACAATCGTTGGCGACTTTCATTGTAGTCTAATTGTATTGATTACAATTATTGTATTGATTGTGTACCTACTGTAGTCAATAATTGTTACTTTCTACCGAAGGCTCCATTGAACCGCATTCTCTCGCTACAATAGTTAACGACTCTCGGTGTAGTTTAATTGATTAAAATACAGTAGCCAGTGACTGTAGATTAATCATGAGCATTATCACAGTAATCTGTTATTTTTAGGTATTATAGTTTATTCGAACCCTGCGAGCTCTTATAATATTCACTTGGTATGCCTTACATACCTGTCGTAAGAGGCAACTAAAATCCAGTAAACACTATCCGATACTGTTTGGAATAAGTTTCATTTGCGGCAGCCAACCGAAAGTGTTGATCTGGTAACACGGGATCAAGACCCACAGTTTTGGCAAACTTGATAGATAAAGGTTGGAATACCTTTAAAGATACAATGGTATTTTTAGCATTCTAAAGATACCATTGCTGGTTGAACTTCTTTCGCAGGCTTGCACATATTTGATGAATTAAGCGTAACAATTGTATGTTAATTGAACCCTTGACGATCTTATGTACCGCCGACGCTGTCATTCGCACAGCACGTTGGCGGTCTTCACTTTGTGTTGTTATTGTTATTTAGCTTTTTATTTTTTTAAGTAAAATCAAAATACATCGTATAGACAGATATTATGGCAAGTCGAGTATGGGGTACGTATGCTGGTTGCGATAGAGAGTCAACACTGATGGATCGCCGTAAAAAACAATATCGAAAACAAGCACAGGTAGGTCAGTTGTGACGCGATACTTGTTGGAATAAGACACAAACTTACTTAACTGCTTTGCCCATACGCGAAATCCGATTTAATCAATTCAGCGAGAGTTTTGAATTATGAATTAAATAACGTAACAAACGATTCATTTTGTTTTTAATATTTATATATTTTTGTTTAATAATACTCGTTTATTCTATATATTTGATGCTAAAGTGTTCTTAATTTTCAAATTATTTAGTGGTAATGTGTAACGAGCTTTTCACGTAAAATATAATAAATAATGATAAAATGAAATCATTCTTAAAATATTTAGAACAAATATCAGCTCCGGATGTGATCTCAGCTAGAGTGTTGAGATAGAAAGTCAATAAAAATGAAAATTTTGAAAAAA